GTTGTACTTCTAAAACTTGTACAAATGCTGCAGGTATTACATTTAATTATGCAAATTGTAAAGATTGGCTTAATACTTGCACTGTGAATCTTGGAAGCACTGCATGTGTATCTATGGTATCTAAATGCACAGATTAGTCATCTTCAAATTGTCTTAATACAATAGAAGGAGAGTGTGTTGTTGTAGGTTCTGATTGTGTTAGAAAAACATGTGATACTGCTGCTGTCAATGGATTTTTTGATTCAGATGGAGAGTGCTCAACTTACTAATAATCATGTACTGTTGCTAGAATGGGAGCTTGCCAACCTAGAGGCACATGTGCTTCCTACAAATCTTTAATTTAATGTAAGATCAATACAAGTGGAGGCAAATGCTTCTGGAATCCAACAAATAAAACTTGTGTAGATTTGAATTGTGGAAACATTGAAGCAACAACTTCTTATGACTCTCATAATAAATGTGTTGCTGTTGATACAACTCTTGCTTGCACAGTGAGAGCTAAAAATAGTGCTGCAGTTGCTGGTTGTATGGCTAGAGGTGCATGAAGTTCATATACCATCGAGGAGTAATGTAAAACAAATGCAAACAATGGTGAATGTGTTTGGAATACAAATGCCAATTTACCTGCACCTGCTTGTCAAGATAAGTCTTGTACTAGCGCTCCAACTTCCATCTAAACACACAACGAATGCTATTCATATTATAACACAACAACAGTTAAATGCACTGTTGTTGCTACTCCAAGTACAACTGGAGGTAATCCAACCCTAGGAGGATGTTAATAGGCAACTGCTTGTTCAAGTTATATTGATAAGGAATAATGTTAAATCAATGCTAATGGCGATCCATGTGGATGGAATGGAACATAATGCGCTGACAAATCTTGCACAACTGCTCCAGCCACTGCTGATTATGACGATGACACAAAATGTAGAGCTTATTTCAGCAATAAATGTACAGTAGCAGATAGTGGATAAGGATGTGTAGATATTCCAGCTACTTGCGAAACAATGACATAGAAATAATGCTAATCTAATAAGACTGGTGATCCATGCTATTGGAATGGAACAGCTTGTATTACTAAATCTTGTGACAATGCTCCAGATGCAACTGCTACAGCTGATGAATGCAATACCTATTTAACTGGATGCACATTAGATGATGTAAAGTGCAAAACCAAGATTTGTGAAGATTTCGCTTTTGCTACAGATGCTTTATGTAGATAAGCCCTTTCAACATGTACAACAAATGGAACTAATTGTGTTACTAGAGGAACATGCTTCTAAGCATTAAGCCAAGCTGGCTGCATTACATCTTTAACAGGTTAATAATGTGAATGGATACCTGCTGTGTTGAATGCTGCAAATTAAGTAACTTCACCAGCATATTGTACAATTAAAAATTGCAGTACAGCACCAATTACATTAACAAGTGAAGCAGCATGTGCTGGATATTTCACAAACTGCACAACTAAGAATGGAGGTGGATGTGTTACCAAATCAACTTGTGCAGCTGTAACAATTGATGTAGCCTGCACAACAGCCTTAAATGGTACTATTTGTGCTTGGGATAGTGCTTAAAATAGATGTAGAGATAAAGATTGCTAAGATTTCAGTGGATCTACTCATGCTGCTTGTTAAGCTTAAAGATAAGGATGTACTGCTGGAACCAATGGTAAATGCGCAAGAATCTAAAATTGTGAATAAACCACTATTAGAGCAGCATGTATTGAAGGAATAAATGGGCCATGTTTATGGGTTGATAAATATCAAATTACTGATGGAACAAATGGAGCTTGTTTCAGATATACATCATGCGAAAGTTTAACTTGGAATAATGATACTTAATGTAAATGGATAAGTGATAAATGCACAACAAACGGATCTAATTGTGTTGGAATTACTTTATGCTCAGAAACAAAGACTGATGGAGGTTGTGTGACTGGATATGATGGAGCTTGCATTCAATCTGTTCCAGCTTTGAATTCACCAGATCCAAAGGTTTGTAAACCATTTACTTCTTGTGCAGATGCTTTCTATATTACTCATTAAGAATGCCAAACTGCTAGTTAGAAGTGCACAACAAATGGAACAACTGGTTGTATTGCTTTAGGATCATGCTCATCATATATTTCATAAGCTGGTTGCTTTATCAATGATAAAGGAATTGTTTACACTTCTGGAGCAATTACTTCAACAGGTATCTGTACTTGGGATACAACATTAACTAATTGTAGAGATTAATCATGTGCTGATTTAACTGGTTCCAATCATTCAACATGTGCTTCATAATTATCAACATGCACATCAGATGGAACTACTTGTTTATTGAAAGGAGCCTGTTCATCTTACTTAACTTAAACTGCTTGCACAACCGCTGTTGGATCTGATGGAGCTTGCTATTGGGAACTAGCATCTGCTACAAATAATAATACAGCCAAATGTAGATTACTTACATGTGCTGATATTCAAAATGGTACAGCAACTAATGTTTGTTCAGTAGCCTTGTCAACTTGCGTTTCAAATGGTACAATTTGTATTCCAAAAGCTAACTGTTCAACATATACATCAAAGATAACATGCAATTCAGGTGGTTTAGATGGTATTTGTGTATTCACTTAATCAACTGCCGCTGGAGCTGTTGCTGGTACTGGTACTTGTGCTTTAATGACTGCATGCACAACCGCCAATAATGATTAAACTGCATGCTAAGCTGCCAGAGATAGATGTTCTTGGACATCTGCATCTGAATCCGGAGCCACTGCTGTATAGAGTAAATGCACAGCTCACACTTGTGCTACTAACTAAGCTACTAATGGACCATGCACAAGATTCTTTAATTGGGATAAAAAGACTCAATAAATTTGTACTCTTGCCAATGGATCATGCAATGCATCAGACCCATCAACATTATCATCCAATGATTGCCTCTTAATTTCTGGATATACATATACTTGGAATGCCTCAACAAGTAAATGTGGAGTTTGCACCGCTGTTGTTGTTCAACAAAATAATGGTAATACATCTACTCTTGGTTATGTAACAAATACAGTTTCTGCTTACATTCTTGGATTATCAACAATTATCTTGGGGCTCATTCTAAATTGAGATTGATTTTTAAATTTATATAGGGAAAAATTTATAATAATTTTTTAAAAAATTTTATCTTTTTTGTTAAATTATTCATTATTGTTTTTGGAAATATATATAACGTAATAAATAAGGTTTTGACTTTTAGAATTATTATTAAGATA